ATCTCCAACTGTCCTCCACTCGTCTCCATGTCCCACTGTCTTTGACGCTGGTTCTACATGTTTAACCAGGAGCCATGAGCAACCAGGACCTGATCCTGATCCTGAACCTGGTCCTGGATCTGGACCTGGACCCAGCTGTGTGTCCATGAAGAGTCATCAGTCTAATGATTTGCCGATCGACTTCAAAAATGGACGCCCTTCTTATGGCCCACGGTAAGGCTAATGAAACCGATGAACTGTTCTGATGCTCAGTTATGAATGAAAGAAATGGTCGTTCAATGTTTAAAGTGTTGTTTCCATGACGATCCATCATGACAGAACTCATTATCTTTATCTAACTGGTCTGTTTGTGTTTAAGTGTGAATCATTAACTGTAAACATCCGCACATGTGAACACAATGTGAGCTAGTTCCTCCACATCAGGATATTCCTGAGCCTGACTGACCATGTGATTAGAATAAACTGTGGACCAGCTGACGTGGTCCCTGGACTCCATGCAGAGGTTTAGAGTAGTTTCATAGGACTTTGTACCAAATGCAGATGTTGCCCTCCTCTCAGTGAACAACAGCCGACACCTTAAATACATATAAACGTAAACCGTTTTAATGGTGGTGGTGTCTGTGCAACGTCAGTCTCCGTCAGCCGTTCTTCTTCTTCTTTCCCACGGAAGCGCATGTACGATGCACAGACACCCCCCTAGTGGTGAGATGGTGACACCTGCTGGTCATCTTTGACCCTACACAACTAAACATTACAGCAAAGTTGGCCGAACGAAAACAATGGTCACGAAGCAACTTAAAAATCCATCTACATTATACAGAGGTCTGGAGACGTTGTTTTTATGGCCCTCAGTAAGAACTAAAAACCGATGAAACTGATGACTGTCACTCAAATTATAAACTGTCCGTCCACCATCAACATCCTCAGCATCTGGTCTTTAGTTTTGCGACTGTTGTTTTGACAAAAGAAAATATCTTTAATGTTGTATTGGTGTTGATGGTACAAACACCATGTGAGCTGATGCTTCGTGATTAAATGATGATCTAAACTCAGTGTTTCTTTCAGTTCACATCAGCAGAGAGGATCTGGACCCAGCTGTGTGTCCATGAAGAGTCATCAGTCTAATGATTTGCCGATCAACTTCAAAGATGGACGCCCTTCTTATGACCCACGGTAAGGCTAATGAAACCGATGAACTGTTCTGATGCTCAGTTATGAATGAAAGAAATGGTCGTTCAATGTTTAAAGTGTTGTTTCCATGACGATCCATCATGACAGAACTCATTATCTTTATCTAACTGGTCTGTTTGTGTTTAAGTGTGAATCATTAACTGTAAACATCCGCACATGTGAACACAATGTGAGCTAGTTCCTCCACATCAGGATATTCCTGAGCCTGACTGACCATGTGATTAGAATAAACTGTGGACCAGCTGACGTGGTCCCTGGACTCCATGCAGAGGTTTAGAGTAGTTTCATAGGACTTTGTACCAAATGCAGATGTTGCCCTCCTCTCAGTGAACAACAGCCGACACCTTAAATACATATAAACGTAAACCGTTTTAATGGTGGTGGTGTCTGTGCAACGTCAGTCTCCGTCAGCCGTTCTTCTTCTTCTTTCCCACGGAAGCGCATGTACGATGCACAGACACCCCCCTAGTGGTGAGATGGTGACACCTGCTGGTCATCTTTGACCCCACACAACTAAACATTACAGCAAAGTTGGCCGAACGAAAACAATGGTCACGAAGCAACTTAAAAATCCATCTACATTACACAGAGGTCTGGAGACGTTGTTTTTATGCCCTCAGTAAGAAATAAAAACCGATGAAACTGATGACTGTCACTTAAATTATAAACTGTGTGTCCGTTATCGACATATTCAGAATCTGGTTTTCATGGTGATCAATCATGACAGAAGCAAATATCTTTAACTAATGTTGTATTGGTTTTGATGGTACAAACACCATGTGAGCTGATGCTTCATGTTCCTCCACAGAGAGGACCAGGAGAGCTCAGAGGAGCTGGCTGGGCGTCTGCAGAGCAGTAAGAGGATTTCTCTACAGACTTACCATGCTGATGAATGAGACCTTCACTAATGTCTCAAGAGACGGACAGAATATATTCATAGTCATTCTCTGAGGAAAGGACATGTTGAAATCTATTATTTGACTCATTGTTCTTCTTTCTTCATTCAGGACTTCATGCTGCAGTTTGTCAGCGTGAACTCAAATCCAACCTGAAGAAGAAGTTCCAGTGTGTGTTTGAGGGCATCGCTAAAGCAGGAAACCCAACCCTTCTGAATGAGATCTACACAGAGCTCTACATCACAGAGGGAGGGACTGCAGAGGTCAATGAAGAACATGAGGTCAGACAGATTGAAACAGCATCCTGGAGACCAGCCAGACCAGAAACAACCATCAGACTAGAAGACCTCCTCAAAGCCTCTGCTGGAGGAGAGGAACCAATCAGAACCGTGATGACTAAGGGAGTGGCTGGCATTGGGAAAACAGTCTTAACACAGAAGTTCACTCTGGACTGGGCTGAAGACAAAGACCACCAGGACATACAGTTCACATTTCTATTCACCTTCAGAGAGCTGAATGTGCAGAGAGAGAAGAAGT